AACAAAAGAACTTTAAAAATATCACAATTAATGAAAGGCAAGGATGGGGTCAAACTATGGATTCTGCGGGCCTAATGTGGACAGTCTACTTCTTAAAAGGCTTTTGGAAGGAAAGATTCCCAGCAACAGAGATACTTATTAACACTCAACAGTGGTCCTCTGTGTTTTCACCAAAACTCTAAGAGCCTATAATTCTGAAAGTTCTCAGATTCTCTGGCTCTACCTAGGATAATGAAGTAACTTGATAATCAATTAACTACTCTTTAACCCATGTCTAACATGACAGATTGGTAAGGCCATCAATATATCAAGGCATATTCTATCAGCCTCTGTCAGACAGATTCTGTTTCTTGGGAAGATAACAAGCTGATGTTTAGTGCCAAACTCCATTTCTTAAAGAGCAAATCACAGACTTTTCCTGTGGACCAGTGGTTAAGACTCTNTTAGTTCTTCTTCGCTTTCTGCCATAAGGGTGGTGTCATCTACACATCTGAGGTTATTGATATTTCTCCTGGCAACCTTGATTCCAGCTTGTGCTTTATCCAGCTTGGCATTTCGCATGATGTACTCTGCATATAAGTTAAATAAGCAAAGTGACAATATACAGCCTTGACATACTCCTTTCCCAATTTGGAGCCAGTTCACTGTTCCATGTCCGGTTCTAACTGTTGCTTCTTGACTTGCATACAGATTTCTCAGGTGCAGATAAGGCTGTTTATTATTCCTATCTCTTGAAGAATTTTCCACACTTTGTTGTGATCCACACAGTCAAATGCTTTGACATAGTCAATAAAGGAGAAATAGATGTTTTTCTGGAAATCTCTTGCCTTTTGATTCAACAGATGTTGACAATTTGATTTTGCGTTCCTCTGCCTTTTCTAAATCCAGCTTGAACATCTGGAAGGTATCGGTTCACTTACTGTTGAAGCATCTCATTGAAGAGATTAACACACTCCTTCTGAAGGATGGACATTTCTTTGGAGATTTTTGCAAGACTGAAGACCTGTTCACTTTACTTCCCCACTGCATCTCCCTCTCCATTCTGCCTTTCAACTTTAGTTCTTCCTTGCTTCTTTCTCTCTAAACTATAAAAGAACCTGGCATCCAGACCCCAATAAAATGGTTATTTTGAGGTGCTAGCACGCCATCTTCTCAGTCTGCTGGCTCCCCAATTAAAGTTTCTTCCTTGCCTCAACACTTTGTCTCTCGATCCATTGGCCTATTGTGCGGCAAACAGAGCAAGCTTGGACTTGATAACACAATGAGCCTGGCTTTAATTCTGATATCCACTAGCTGAGTGCCCTATGGCAAGTCAGTGACTCTTTCTGATATTGAGCTCCTTCTATTAATAATCTGGTTGAGTGATTCCTAGACTTCTGAATTTCACGATCAGTAGCTTTCGATGCTGCTGTTCTTTAAATTTTAGGGACTGACATAAGATTGCCAAGCTACGACATAATATGTAATCGTCTACTATCACATTCTTCAAAAAAGAAAGTGCATGTTTAACATAAAAAAGAGTAGGATGGATAATGTCAGAATAAAAGGTAGTCCTTTAAATTGAATGAAGTTAATTTTGTGGAATTCACTTTCCCCTCATCCTAGCTTTTCTTACTTTATAATAGTAGAGTGTAAAGCTCTTACAGACTCATATTTGGCGAGGATGAATGTTATCTTTTCTTATTTGCCCTCTTTGCCTACCACTTCTCCATTTCCCTCCAGCTTACCCTTCACTCTATTTTTAGTACTAATATAATACACTACTTTAATCACTTAAACTTTCCTCAAATCATTTAATGCTCAGATACCGTGTCCTGGGTCTGTTATTTAAGTCCTTCTGCTTTTTTGCTCCAATCTAACTTTCAAACATTTTCATTTTTTTACATGAATCTCTCAGATCTAGTCCACCTATGTAGTTATCAACCTCCAGGATGGCCCTTAATAATGATCCCAGTTTCCTGGTCTCCACATCCTGGTGTAGAGTTCCATCCCAAATTGTATGGGGCTGTCTGTGTTAAGACAGACTGAAAAGTGATAGTATGTCACTTCCAATATCAAGTTACTAAAGACTTCAGCTTCTGTCTTCTGTGCTCTCCTTTGGATCACTAGCTGCCATGTTATAGGGTATTACCTATGCAGAAGACCACATAGGGAAGAACTGAGGCTTGGGCTAATAAAATGGGAGGAACAGAGGGCTGCCAGTAACTTTGTGGGCTTGGAAGCACCTCCCAGCTGCAGTCAAGGATTGAATGCCTGAAGCTCTAGTTGACAGCTTGACTGCCATCTCACGAGAAACTTTAAGCCAGAACCCTGAGCTAAATTCTCTTGCATTTCTAATTGTCAGAAACTGTGTGAGACAATGATTGTGTGTTATGCCTAAGTTTTGGAATACTTGCTATGCAGCAACAGATGACTAAGACACATTATCTTGACAGCCAAGAATACATCTTTTTCTCTTTGCACTCATTGCTCATGCTGGATCTCCAATTATCCCAATTCGAGCTGTCAAGTTCTTGATTATCAGCCTTCACACCCACTTCCCCTATGATTCCTTCTCTCATCTTCTCAGGCAGAAGTGATTCTTCCTCAAACTCTGTGTCATGGCAATTGCCCCATACCTTTTTTGTGTACCTATTGAATAGCCTTCTCATTCATTCACTTAACAAACTTTTACTGAAGACCCTGAAGAAATAAAAATGAGTAAGATGAAATCCTCACCCTTGAGGGCTCAAACTCTAGTAAAAGCTGTGAAATCACAAAACAATATATAACAAGATGGTCCAGGGCATTATGGGAGTAGAAGTTACTGGTGGGAGGGAGCAGGAGTTGGGAAAGACCACAGAGGAAGGGATACTGGGCTAAGTTTTAATAAAGGATGTGGTGGAGTATGCAGGTATGTCAAGAGGAGAAAGAGCATTTCAGTCAGATAGAACTTAAGTACCTGCAACCAGAATTAGGTTCTGTGGAATGGAGGCAGGTAGGGATAAAGACTGTAAGGATCTTTCATGCCATGCACTGGAGTTTGGACTTTATATTACAGATGGTTGATAACTGCTGAGTCGTTTTAAGTAGAAAATGACTGGATCACATCTTGTTTTGGAAACATTTCTATAGGAGTAGTAAAGAGAAAAGGCTGAAGGAGGACCAAGGAAGCAAANTCATGCCATGCACTGGAGTTTGGACTTTATATTACAGATGGTTGATAACTGCTGAGTCGTTTTAAGTAGAAAATGACTGGATCACATCTTGTTTTTGAAACATTTCTATAGGAGTAGTAAAGAGAAAAGGCTGAAGGAGGACCAAGGAAGCAAAAGACCAGACCGGATAGCTGTGCAAAACAGTTTCAAAAATAAATCTTAAAGTGTGATGGTGGAGATGGATTTGAAAGATAAAAAAGTTAAAAAGGACAGGCTTTGGGTAAGAAAACCTAAAAAAAAACAGGCTTCAAGGAATTCTAACTTTTCAGTTGGCTGAGTTGCTACGTGGATAGTGATACCAGTTTAAAGTATTCCTTGCCTGTCTACCATGCATGAAGCACTTCTGGGGATTCAGCCATGAACAAGACAAAGTCACTGCATTAACAGAATTTATACTCCAGAGGATAGTTTTTAAAAAGCCATGTTGACTGAAAAAAGAAAAGGGGGGGGGGCACAACCTCAAAGTTAAGTTTAATCGGGGGCAAAATGAGGACTATAGGCAGGGAGACAGGCTCTCAGTACTGAGGAACTGATCCAAAATGGTGAGAAGGGAGGTCAGTAGGTAAATTATTTTAGTGAAAGGGAGTTACATGGAATCAAGCCCACATTTTGGCCAAAGGTTGATGTTAATCACCAGAAAATTGATGCTAGTCACGAGGAACAGACGTCTCCGTTAATTCTTTTAGTGCTTTTCTAGACAGGAGAAAAATGCAAAAAATTAAGACTCATAAAATATTCTCTTGAAAACAACTGTCGGACAGCCTGCTCTGCCAGTTTTTCCTAGAGTATCTCATTCCTGATCTCCTCTCTCAACTCCTTTCAGGGTGTGTTGAAAGTCAGTAACTCCAGCAGGTACTGACCTAACACTTGCAGAGGCAGACAGTGGGCGAGTTTTTAAATGGCAATGAAATGAGGAATAAACAAACTGTAGTACGTGGGAAGAAGAAAACAAATAAGATACTTTGCTAATCTGTTATGTCACTTATTCACACAAGAACAGTGGTTGCCAAGAATTTCCCAATAAAACCTGCCACATTATTACTTTTTAATTGGGGCCTTCAGCCCCAAGAGATAATAACAGGAGAAATAAAGAAGCGAGTTTCGGGGGGGCTTTCCCTCTCTGCCTCTTAATTAAGCAAGGCTTCTCACGTTGTAATTGTTTATTCCTCTAGATTTCCTCCATACCCAAGGCCCAAGCCCTTAATCATCACCTTGAGCACGTGGGTGTTCTAGAATGAAACGGTATGCGCAGCCCAAGGGTGGATTTTCCTTTTCTGCTTAAGGAAAAATCCTTTTAAAGATCATTCCATAATCAATCTAAACCGAGATAGTCACATAACAACTGCACAGAATCAAAGCGCTGGCTACAGTCAGAAGAGATGGCTCCGCGGATGTGTTCCCACTGCCTACTGAGCGGCAAACGAAGGGATGGATGGTCGCCAGGGCGCAGGAAAACAGCAGCAGAGCACAGTCCTAGCTCCAATTCCAGTCCAGGGCTTCGCGTTTCCCCGAAGGCCTGTCTTTATGTTAAATGGTTTTGAAACACACATTAAAGACGCCCAATGTTCCCCCTCAGTTATTTTTCCCTTTTCAACGTTTGGTGCCCAGCCCTCGCCGCCGAAAAACCCTAGCGCTGGAAACACAGCTCGCCGCGTAGGCCGGAGCCTCAGGTCCACACGCGGGGCAAGAGGCGGCGCACGGTGGTCGCGTCCAGTCTGGCGCAAAGCCCCACCCGGCCGGCGCCTCGCTTCCGCCGCCGCCTCGCCTCCTGGGAATAGAGGGCACCGGCGGCCCCGCCCCTACCTGCGCGCGGCACTGCCGTGAGCAACAGTCTCCCTCTGGAGAGTGAGAGCCAGACATGGCCGGGACTAGCGGTACCCGCGCCTTGCAACCTCCGCACGGCTCTGCTCCTGAAGCTCCGCCTGGGCCCACGCGACAAGGCCAGAACTGCAATCAGGCGGCTCTGAGGGCAGCCTGGGGGCGGGGCGGACAAAATGAAAGGCGGGTCTGGGAAGGCCTCTCTGACCCAACCGCGCAGCCGCCTGGCCGGGAGGCCAACCCGGTTGGAGGCGGGGCTAGAACTCGACTCCGAGGCGCGCAGGCCCCTAGGGGGGCGTGTCCCCGGATGGGAGGCGGGACATGGGAGGGCCTTGATGACTGGGCGATCAGGCTGTTCTGAGGGCAGCCCAGGAGAAGGCCGGGAAGATGGCGGCCTCCTGGAGAGTAGGCTGTGACCCGCGGCTGCTGCGTTGCCTTCTGGGCTTTGGCAGTCGCAGAAGCCCAGAGCTGGTTAAGGGGGCTGCTAGGTGGTCTGTCGGCCGTGGAGCTAGTTGGAGATGGTTTCACAGTACGCAGTGGCTGCGGGGTGAGTGGCCGGGGCTTGCTCAGCTTCTCTGTACCTGAGCAATGGACCTGGGGCAGGGGCTTTTTGATCGAGGGCCTGCATCTGGGTGTGGAGGCGCCCGCAGCTCACCGTTCCCCAATCCTTTTTTCTGGGAGAGGGTCTGCTGACCTGGTCTAGTGCATGCCGCAAAGAGCTTTTTTGGAAGCTAGGAGAACTTGACTCCATCCCTGGCCGCCTGGCTTCTTCGTGACCTTGCCTTGGAATTTGGGTTCTGAGGCCTGTCTTAGGCCGCTTCCCAGTCATATTTCAGGTGTCTTTAGAGTTGGCTAATTGCCCAAGTTTGCTGACATTCAGACGTCATCGTTAGCTGCTTTTATTCATTCTCCTGGCCCGTCACAGGAGAACTTCGAGGCCACTGGGATTGCTCTAGGCAAGGACTGGTGAAGGACCCCATTTGTAAATGTCTAGACATCATCAGACATAGGTCCGGAAGAATGTTTTAACAAAACATGAGCTTGAAATAGGAGGGGAATCTTACGAAGGTGTCGACTTAAAGACACAACGTAAGAGTTGTGAGTTTAAGTTTTATTCGAGGTCTTACTGAGTTTTATAGCCTGGGAGACAGAGACTCAGGTCTGAGCAACTACTCTGCTGTGGTGGGTGTGGGGGGGTGGGGGGCGGTAAGCCAGATTGCATATGAATTTTTTTGTCTAGGAAATGCATGCAATCAAGCGTAGATCTTAGCAAAGATTACTGCCGATCATAACAGATATGTCATGTTACTGAGTTTAATATTTATTATCTTAGTGTTTTTCTATGAATGGAGAGATGTAAGAATCTAGGGTTATTTAAATTCTTCCTGAGATGTCCTTTGAACTATCTTAGAGCCTGTTTATCCAAAGCAGAGTGCTTCATCTTGAATTCCTCTCAGGTCTCACTGTTGCTGGGCAACTGCCGTGAGTTGTGAATTAACCCTTGTGAAACTGGGCAGTCCTTGAAATTCCTTTTTCTTCACAAGATTTATTATAGAAAGTTGTCATTAAACACAACACGATTCTCCCAGTATTTAATAGTTTGCAATGTAGTGTGCCAGCCATTATTTTCCTTTACAAGAGGGGCGAGTGCATATGCGTGATGTATCATTATTACCTGCCGATCATTCAGTCCCTCCATATGATGAATTGTAATATTGCCTATGCCAAATTTTTTAGGGGTGGTGGAGGGGAACGTTCCATGAAGTTAATGGCATGGTGAGTGCACTGAGATTTTAAGATTTAAGGGAACAATTTAACTTCTTCAGCCTAATGTTTCATAGCATTCCCTGTCTTCTCTTCCCCCAGTTTGTTAAATAATGAACTTCCTACAGCTGCCAGAGATTCTGTCTGGGGTGGAACTCAGCAATCTACATTTTACAAACAGCCTTTGGTGAATTTTCATGTACAAAATATCAACGTTTGGTGTTTCATGGGCTACACTTTGAGATTTGCTCTCTTAGAAAATCATGGAACTTTAAAAGCTCACTGTTAGGAATAACTGAGAAAGAATGTTCTTATTAAACAGATACTTTTGAGGATCTTTGAACATTTTAAACTCTCTCTACTGAGAAAGGGAGCAAGTGTTGCATACTCAAATATGTGCATGCTGTTTCAGGGGTTTTGCTTAGACCAAACTTGACAGTCCTTACCTGAGACATCATGACATTTTACCTACCCCTCAACACACTGTGAACAACTTGTCTATCTGCTTGAACTTCATCTGTAAGGAATCCTAGGAAAGCTGTGTTAGCTTCCTGGTGCCTCCCTCTTTGATGTATACAGGACCCTGTTGATTATATTGGGCCCGCCTCAGTGATCTAGGATTCTTTCCCTATTTCAAGATCAGTTTTTCAGTGGTGGTCCTCAGGAGTTTACCTGGTGAGCCGGTGGTTAAAGGACTTCCCTCATGGCTCAGTAGTAAAGAATCTACCTGCAGCGCAGGAGCTGCAGAAGACACAGGTTCGATCCCTGGGTCAGGAAGATCCTCTGGAGGAGGTCATGGCAACCCATTCCAGTATTCTTGCCCGGAGAATCCCACAGATAGAAGAGCCTGGTGGGCTACAGTCCATAGGGTCACAAAGAGCTGGACACGACTGAAGTGACTTAGCATCCACACATGCACACTAACCAGTAGTTTAGATCACGTTTCCATTGCACAGGGTGTGGGTTCGATCCCTGATCAGGGAACTAAGATCCCACATGCTGTGCAGTACGGCCAAAAAATAAATGAATAAAAAAATATGCCAAAGTTATTTAAATTTTTTTGAATAAAGGTCAACTGTTTATCAGTTCTAATCTCTTTTTCAACTTTAATTCCCTCTTGCCATGTAACATAACATATTCATAGGTTCTGGGGTTAGGACATCTTGGGTGTGGTGGGGCACAGGCATTAGTCTGTCTACAGGAAAGCTGATTATTGTATGTTATTGGATAGCTGTAGGTTATTTGGAAATCTTAGATTTTTTTCCTAATACTAAGCCAAAATTCGTCTCCTGACTTTTCGCATAAAGGTTTTTGTTTTGCCATGATAAGTGTACATGACAATCCTTGAACTATTTGCTTTACAGAGCATGGATTACAAGGTGTTTGTTGGTTTTTCTCAAGCTTGGTAGAAATTAGTTTCATAAAACTAAACAACTATTTGGTAGTCTATAGACTATGAATTTGACACAATTACTGAATTATTTCATCTTTCACTTAACTGTCAAGGATTTAAAAATCAGTTGCGAAGTCACTTGGAGTTTTGGTTTCTTTAAAAGGTGTTTGTTGGCAGCATATTTATGAACTATAGCATATGCCATGTACTTAGCCCTTTTTAGAATTCCTTATTCACTTCTCACAACCACCTAGTAAAGTTGGCATTATCTGCATTTTTATTGGGCAGAAGATACTAAGGCTCAGAGAAATTAAGTGATACTTCCAAAGCCACACAACTATAATGGTAATGAACTGAAAAGGAGCCATGTATTTTTTACTCTGTGTTTAACAAATCCTTAATTGTTCCATTCCCTGAACTGCAATGCAGTGTGTACTGAGAGGGTAGAGACTTATTCACCATACTATTATTGAGTGAAGAAATGAGCCCTAGTTGCAAGGTACCTGGTAGCTGCTAAGAAAGTGGTTGGCCTGCTGAAGGAACAGGTTCTGTGTATTCAGGCACATGGCCCATCTCGTCATGCTTCTGGAGTTGGAATCCTGTGTTCTGTATGGGCTTTATCCTTAAAGTATGGGGAGGTAAACAACAGCCGTGTGGTTGCAGTAGTGTGTGTAGTGAGCTCTGAGGGGCTAAGTTCAGGATGATAAGGGAGAACATAAGAAGGCTTCCTGGAGGTGGCAGCCCTTTCAGGCTGAAAGAGTAGCAGGTATAAAGGCCCAGAGGCTAGCTGTGATATTTACGGAAGTGGCAAAGCGTTTGTAAACCGGTTTTCATCACACCCTAGGCATTTAACTTTGAAGAGTTCCCATTGCTGCCCTTTCAGAGAAAATGGCTTAGTTTGGAATTAATTAATAATTAATAAGATGTTAATATTGTTGGTTTTAAGTTGTCTCTGAGGAATAACATGTTGAATGTAAAATAACATGAGAGGAGGAAAATAAATGAGGTTCAGTCTTTGTAGTGCTTTGCCCAATATCTGACTATAGGCCTTGCATTTATAGATGTTAAATAAACATATCTGGGGAAGCTAAAAATCTTGAAAGTTAAATTAAAAAAAACGGGTCTACAGTATTGCATGTTTGCAGCCAGTGAACCAGTTTGTGTCATTTTAGGAGAAAATTTATTGACAACATTTAAAAACTAGGAACTGTTTATCTAAACAGTCTAAATTTTTGTCTTCCTTTGAAAATTTAAAGTTAGGACCTATATGGTGACAGACGATTGAGACTGAGTAATGACTGTTCTCCTCAGGTAGGAAATTACATACTTCCTAGTTGACCATTTTCTCTTTGTTACCTCTCAGCCAGCAAGACTGAATGTCCTTTGAAATTTGTCATCACCTCTAATTGTTGTTCTTTTCTTGTACTCTTATCTCTATGGAAAGCAGAAAACAGGAGATAGGTTAGGAAAAATGGGAGAAAGCAGTGTGTGAGTGTGTTTATAAAGGAAGAAATTTATTATAGATTTAATATGAAAATGAAGCATGACTAAATCTGAAGAAACTCACAAGGTGCTGCTAACCCACTTTCTCCTGTTTCCTCTAAGCATCTGAGTTTTTGATGGTGGTTCTATAACAAGGAGAGGACTTCTTTGTTAAAGAGTCAGTGGTGTGGCATGTTGACCTATAACAGACTTCCAGACATTTCTTGAGCAAAGGTGGGTTTATTCGGGATCTGCGAAAAAGAGCAGTTCGGGGTCTGCAACCATGGGGAGTCAGATGCTAATCCCCACAAGCTCAGGAAAGAGAACACTTAATACAGCAGGGCAGAGGAAGGTGGGAGGCTACAGTAAGCAAAGTGTCCACGGCTTTCCACTGGCTGAGTCCTCGCCAGGAAAGGAGAGGAATCAGTCTTCTTCCTGTTGGGCTTTGCAGTTACTACAGGGTGAGGTCCCCCTTCTGGTCTCCCAACTCTATTTAATTGAAGTTTCTGTTTATTAATTTTCACAGTTATTTTTTCAAAGCATAAATACTGTTTTAGGCCTGGCTCTAATTAAATCTTTCTACACTGATATTGGTGAGACTATTACTGTTTTTTGAGTTCTTTAACCATGGAAACAGAAACATATAGACGTGCTGAAATAAAGATATAGGATTTCTTAGAAGGATACAACACCAGAGTGTCTGGGCCATATCCATTTCTTGTAGGGCTCCCATTGTCTGCTGTCTTTTCTCTGATTTACGTTGGTTTTCCCCATACTTGTCAATCTACTCATGGTTTTTCTTTTTCTATCATGTCAACTTGCCTTGCCTTAATGCCGATGCAGGTCCTTACATTTGTTGCTCTTTCAGTTTAGTTCAAGCACACACCACCATTTTTGTGATCTAATTCCAGATTCCCTGGGCAGAGAAGCGGATGACCCAATATAGGTCAGTTGTGGTATAGAACACAGGGTTGATTCGATCAAAGACTGCAGTTCGGACATTTCCTTTAAAAGGGAAGTGTGAGTTGGGAATCAATGACGTCTGTTATTCTGACCACTTGATTAAAGTAGAGTAGTGAAGTCCTTCGTTTTAATTGTTTTGGGGTTAAGTATTGACTAGAGAAAATGGATGATCAATTAAGCAAGTCAGAGTAGGCTACTCAGTAGTTGAGATCTGTGGTCATCTAAGGAAAACAGAAAGGGGATGAATGAGATCTTAGAAGCAGCAGCAGGAGAATCTGGTTAAGATTTGGATTATCAGGAAGTACTTAGTACTACTCATTGCTTTAAAACTTTTCATTCACCATATGGAAGTGGGATATTCCAAGGAGCCATTACATACTGAACATTCCCTATTTGCTGGGCTTCATTTTAAATTCTTTCTGAACTTCCCTGGTGGTTTGGTGGTTAACGTTCTGCACACCAGTGCAGGAAGCACAGGTTCGATCCCTGATCGGAGAACGAAGATCTACAGGCCACACAGCGCGGCCTGAAAAAAAAAAAGATTCTTTACCTCTGTCACTTCTAATCATAAGAACCTTGCAAAGGTTAGCTGTGTTTTGTGGGTGAAGAGCTAGTCTGTGAGGTTTAGTGGTTTGTCCAAGGTTAGTAAGTGAATGACTACCTTGGAACTATGCACATGATACTATACAGAGGAAGAACAGAGGTCCTTGCTTGTTGGATATCTTGGAGTAGACTGACTGACTAATCATGAAGTTGGGAACTGTAGACTGAATATTTGTGTCCTCCCCAAAGTCATACATTGTAACCTGATGGGCAATGAGAGGGTTTTAGGAGGTGGGGGCCTTTGGCTGGGGCCTGGGTCAGAGTGAGAGGAGCCCTCCTGAGTGGGATTTAGTGCCCTTATAAAAGAGACTCCAAAGAGCTGCCTCACCCCTTCCACCATGGGAAGACACCACAAGAAGATGCGCACTGTGAACCAGGAAGTGGGCCCTCATCAGCCACCATACCAAATTGGCCAGCATCATGACCTTGGACTCTCCAGCCTCCAGACCGTGAGAAATAAATGTTTCTAAGCCGCCAGTCTCAGGTATTTTCTCATAGCAGTTTGCATGGACTCAGGCACTGGGCAGTGGGATCATTAACTCAGGGCATGTGTTCACAAGAGAGGGTTACAGCCGAACAGAATCGGGTCTTTGCCAGCCAGAAAAAGTTGGAAAAGTGGGTTTGGGAATAATACATAGCATTTATTGAGAGCTTACCATGCACCATTCCCCTTTCTCAGCCCTTTGTGTGAATTCCCTCAGTGCTTATGACAGGTAGTGCTGTGCTTGGGTGATAGAAATCTAGTTTCAGCCCAGGCTACCTGACACCAAAGCCAGTTCTTTCCCTAACCACAGCCTTCTTCATTGCCAAGTAATAATTTGACTGTAGACATCAGCAGAACAGTGTCAGCTTGCTGAAGGTTTGTTCACTCTGTATGTTTTAGGGAACACCTGCTTTTTTTTTTTTTTAATAAGTGAGGCATTTGAGTAATATCTACATTGTGAAATGTTATTTCAGCAGCAGTTGTGATGTCTTAAGTTATTTTAAATAATGTAAGATACTAACCTTCTAGATTGTGTATAAAGGATATTAGGACCATTTAAAAGTTAAAGTATATGTCAGTGTCCTTTCTAAGTTTCTAAGATGATCCACTCTTGAATATACCTTATTGTTATCTTGAGCATCATTTGCCTTTTTGACAAAATGTGTAAATCCCCAAACTATTAATCATATGTTCATTCTTCCACTACACTCTGGAGTGGTGATTTCTTTTTGCCTTTGTTCCAGGATTGCAAAGTTAACTGGGATTCTTGTAGAATTTAGATTTTCTAGTTTTAATACCAGGAAGACCAGTGCTGCAAGCTGAAACCTCTTCTGAAGTGTTTGGTTTATTTCGCTCAGGAAATAGTTCTGCAGCCATACTGACATACCTTCAAATCACTGGGTGGGTACTAAGTGTATGAAGGAATCAACAGGTTCTGTAAACAAAGTGGAATGTATCGTGCCTCTTTATTTTTTGTATTTGGTAAGGCAAACATGCTAACCACTACACGACGGAAACTATTTTTTGTATTTGGTAAGCAATCCATTTACTGTAGCTGGTGGTCTACTAGATATTTTCCTGCAATCACGGTCTTTCTTGTATTAGCAAAACATTTCTAGGGAAGAATTAAGGTTGGTAAATTTATAATTCAGGAGCATTTCTTTGGGAATCTCTTAGCACTGATTTTTTTTAGAGGGGCATAAATCTATTTGAAAACTGAAAAACTATCACTTCTTCAGAAAAATGCAAAATTTTGTATGTGATTCCAGGGAACTTGTAGATCTCCCTGCAATTTATCTATAATGCCACCTGTTCTCCGACCTGTTACCGTGAACATTTTGGCTATTTCCTATAGAAAATAATTGTGCTACTTTTCGAGGGTATTTACCATATCTGAGAACAAGAAAGGTGTTAGGCAAGAATACTGGAGTGGGTTGCCATGCCCTTCTCCTGGGCATCTTCAAAACCCAGGAATTGAACCCAGGTCCCCCACATTGCAAGCGGATTCTTTACTGACTGAGCCCCCACAGAAACCCAGAATACTGGAGTGGGTAGCCTATCCCTTCTCCAGGGGATCTTCCCAATCCAGGAATCAAACCAGGGTCTCCTGCATTGCAAGCAGATTCTTTACCAGCTGAGCTACCAGGAGAGCCCCTCTCTGCTCATGGTGTTCGTTCAAATGGAGTGACCTGCCTGTGGTTTGACATTTTTCTTGTTACTTAATGCCACCCTCCTAAATCTTCTTATACAGTCCTGTCAGGGAACGGATGACACTCCAAAAATGGGTAATTTGACTGGAGTTTAATAAGTGACCATTTTTGTGAACTTAGGGTATAGAGATGGCACAGTACTAAGGGGCTATTTGAGTAAGGTGCTGTGATCACCCTCAGCTTGAAGAGGCATGGACAAGGAGCGCTTCATGAACTGGGAAGTGGGGAGCCTTTGTGATCTCTGATGAAGCTGTGCCCTTCAGTTAAAGGATCCAACCAGGTCAGGTGACCCCACAAGGAGGGAGCTGAGGAAATAACCTGACCTCACTCTCCTCTCTCCTTTTCAGTCTCCTTATGCTTCCTGTTGGTGGAACCCAACTGGAGGCCAAAGCAAGGAAGCCTGTTAGTGCAGCCTGTTTAGTGGTGTTGGGGGGCTGACGAGTAGATCTGTAAGGGCAGATGGGGGACGCCTTGCAGGCCCACCTGACTTACACCCGTTAGTCATTACACTATATACCTCAGGTTTAACACTGATGCCATCGAGTACGGCTCATGTGTATGTGTATGGCAGGTCTCATGCTAAGAGGGGAAGAGGGTGAGTATAGTTTCTACACTTGGAAGAACCACACGAGGTTTCCTTGGACTGTTTCCCTGGGCCAATGCTTTGCCAAGAGCAAGCACAGGCTCTTCATAACTGACCTGATTTTTAATAGGATTTTTCTGTCTACATTTGAATAACTGAATAGGAATCAAGGCTATGTAGGCTTTTAGGGCAGTTTTTATAGGAAGAGAATGTTGTTTTTGGAGCAGAGGCATCTAATTTGGATTTCTGTGTTTTTTTTTTTTTAACTGGTACTCCTAAGTCAAGTCATCCTTGATTCCTAACTTTCTCATGCCACATCTGAACTACCAGAAATTCTCATTGGCTCTACCTTTTAAATGTAATCTGACCACTCCTCACCACTTTTTCCACCAACTAGCCTGGCCCAGGCTACCACCACCTCTAATCCAGTTTATTGCAGGAGTGTCCCAGAAGATGTCCCCGCCACACCCTTGACCCAGTACGGACTGTTCTCCCTGCAGCTTTCAGAGTGTCACTTTTAAATTATAAACCAGGTCATGTTACTCTTCTGCTGAAAACCCTCCAAGAGCTTCTCATTAATCTCAGAAGAAAATCTGAAGTCCTGACTGTGGTTTCCAAGGCCCAATATGATACACACCGTCCACCTGTATGACTTCAGCTCTGGCCCTGCCTCTCCTCACGCCGAGTCCACTCTGGCACACGGCTCCCTGGGTGAATTCTGAACATACCAAGTATGCTCTCAGCTCATTCCTGTGCTTGCGCTTTCCTCTGTCTAGAAGGCCCTTCTGTCAGAGATTTGCATGGCTTCTTCCATTCAGTTCTGCTCACTTTGTCAGAGGACGGCTTCTCTGATGAACCAGGAAAATAGTTCCTCCCCTGCAACTGGTTCCCCTTACCTTCCTTACTTTGCTTGGAAGGATCTGGTCCTCTACATGCCTTTTCAGTCTCAGGACAAGTATTCTAAGTCAGTAAAGGAGAACAGGTAACACGTTCATGGATATCTTCACTTTGTATTTAAATTCCCATTATTTTAGCTTTATAATTGAGACCATCTCAAAGCATGTGCAGTTTTTCTTTTCTTTTTTGTCATCATATCCTTGTGAACATAGCTATGCCTATGGCACTGCAAGCAAGTTCAATTTTTTATTGTGTTTATTTTACTCACTTAAAATTTCTATTTTCATGCCTATTCATTGTTATTTATATAATGTCAAACCCATTAACCATGTATTAAAGTGTACTGGAAAGTACTATTGCTGTGTACTATTAGGTAGTAGTCCCAGCATACTTTTTTGAACTTACTTGACTCACTTTTCATTTTCATTATGTCCTACTCTTTAGCCAAACTAAGCTATGTTTCCTTCCTCTTGGTTTGCATAGGATGTTTCCCTAACCTGGTATATCTCTGTTGGTCCCTCACCATGTTTTCTTTGCCTGGTAGATTTTTTAAAATTAAATGTTATTTTTTAACTGTAAATATATAAAATTTACTATTTTCGCTATTTTTAAATGTATATTTTCAGGGCATTGAGAGCATTCACACTGTTGAATGGCCATTACTGTGGTCTCCAAAACTTTTTCATCATCTCAAACTGAAACTCTGTACCCATTAAACAGTAACTCCCCATTCCCTCTCTACCCAACCCTTGGTAACTACTGTTCTACCTCCTCTCTGAATTTGCCTGTTTAGGTAGGTATCTCATTAAAAATGGAATCATAAAATATTTGTCTTTTTGTGTCTGCTTTATTTCACTTAGTATGTTTTCAGGTTTCATCGATGTTATTGCAGGTATCTGAATTTCATCTGTTTTGGAGGCCGAATCACATCTTATTGGCTGTATATACCACATTTTGTTTATCCATTCATGTATCAATGGACACTTGGGTGGTTTGCACTTTTTGGCCACTGTGAATAGTGCAGCTATGAACATGGTTGTGCAAACACCTATTCCTGTTCCTGCTTTCATTTCTTTCAGGTATATAGCCAGAAGTGAGATTGCCTCATCTAATAAATGATCATTCAGTGTTTAATGTTTTGAGGAACCATTGGGTTGTTTTTCCACAGAAGCTGCATTGTTTTACTTTCCCTCCGGTAGTGCACAAAGGCTCTTAATTTCTCCACATCTTGCCAACACTTATTTTCTGTGTTTTTGATAATAGCCATTCTAATGAGGATGAAGCGGTACGAGTACACAAATCAAGATTTCCTTTCCTGATCAGCTAGAATCTCGTCTCTCAGCCCTTTGGCGTTCTGACAACACGGTTATCCACTACCCTCTAGCGCTTGTATGTTTGTCTTGACTTCCCATTTAAACTATAATCCTTTGCGGTCACGATTCTGGTCTTCTGTGGGTTGAGGGCTAGGACAGCAGGAGCTCTGTAAGCATTTGTTGAATGCCTCATTTGCCCTTTCGCTTTAGTAGGCAGTATTATGACAGCACCACAGGAGGTACAACATTTGCCAATGACGTTAATGAGAATTAGGTTTTCAAATGTGCAGTACAGTTAAAGAGTTCAAGAGTTGGCATACTTTAGCAATGAGGACAAGGCTGGATAAGGTAAAGAGTAGAAAGGAAACCTTCAAGTTTAGGTTGGGAAGGTGAGAGGAACCTGTGAGTCTGTCTCTCCTTACCTGAATGAATTGTGAAATAAGATGTGTGTGTGTGGGCGGGGGTCACTTCAGTCATGTCCAACTCTTTGCAGCTCTA